CCTTTTTGTAAAAAAAAAAAAAAAAAAAAAGGATTTTCTCAGAAAGTTTAGAGTTCTTGCAGCACACAAAAAAAAACGATGCTGCAAAGGTAATGGCTTCCCAAACAAAACACTCAAAGATAAAGGGAAAAAAAAAAGGTTAGGTTCATATTCCCTCTATTTTCTTGCACGCGGGTTTTCTGTCAGTTCTCAGGCTCTTCTTTTTCTTATTGTGAATGAAGCGGCGGCATATGATAGGGGGCAGTTCCTTATGCTTTTTCTTTCTTTTGTGCTTTCTTACTTTTCTAGTCATGATGGTCCCCCTCTACCGATCCCAGTTTCCCGCCGCCCAGCACATCCTGGACGAATTTACCGAGCAGTTCTTGGCCCTTCTCAGGGTCTTGCTTATCCCGCCGCTCATGTTTGCGGCAGTCCGCCTGGTATTCAGTCTCAGGGCTACCTTAACCTCCTCCCATGCCTGAGCCTGAGGGACCTCCTGCTGATCGTTTCTTTCATTGCACCTCCTTTTCCATACAGCCCACAGCACCGACGGCTGCAATCACTTGTAGAATCAGAGCATTCACTTCTCCTGGGTTTGGGGGGACGTGTGTCCTAGCAGCAGACCCAAATAATACCCCGGGAGTGTCTGACTGGTGGCTTCTCACATCCTGCTGTTTGCCCCGGTCCCACACCTGCTGAGCCTTGGGCCAGGACAGCAGGTGGTGCAGTACCTCCTCCTCTGATCCAGTGTCGCAGATTGCAGCAGGACTCGTCAAAGTTGTACCTTTTGGCCTGTGCACGCCTTTCGCCAGCCATCGATTCACCGGACGCGCCACGTACTCCAGCAGCCACTGCATGCTGCGTACCCTCGTATTCCGGATTGCCAACACCGCCGCCCACGGCATTACTTTGACTACCGGTAGGGCCGAAGTCTGACCCGGCAAACGCCGTTCCGAGTGCTGGAGCAGGGTGCTATGGAGGTTGGCTGAGCGCCTGCGCAGCCTGTATCCCAGCCGTGTGGTGTAATCCAGAAGGCTGATTCGCTTTGCCCCTCGGCCTGCTGGAGTTGGGAGCTTCCACGCCCATCCGGCCGGGTCAAATTCAAGGTTCTGCAGGGGCATATACGGCTCAAAAATTCTGAGTTCTTCGTCCTCTACCACCTGGAAGGTTCTGCAGGGGCATATACGGCTCGAAAATTACTGAGATCTTCGTCCTCTACCACCTGGAACTTTCGTAAGCTATCAAGCCTGGCTGTAGCCTTGGCAACCACCGTTTGGCTCACCTTACTGACCGTGGCACCTGGCTCCTCTATGACATGCAAGGTCATCAGTCCCCATTGGTCACCGGGGCCGGTTTGGCTGACAAAGGACAAGGCCGTTCTGGGAATTCGAGATCATGGGAACTGGTCCTCTCCGTAACCCAGGTAGCCCAGTCCCCATTGCGCCAACCGGGGATGGACTGATGGAGAGCATTGAGCTTTTGTTGCAAGTTGTGGCAGCCCTTCAACTGGTCCCGGAGCTCCTGGTCGGTCTTCCAGCGGCCTTCGTTCCCTTCCCGATATGCTCGATCTGCCACACCCCTCTCTCAAGCCATGTGGCCCAACGCCCATCCTGCTGTGTCAGGGTTCACGGTTTCTGTGCGTCGTCCACGAGCCACTGGTTGCAGAACAGGGGCTGCCTGAGGATTTTCTCTGGTGGAGGCAGACTTCACCTTTGCGGGGAAGATCTCCCTCCACGTGCGTAGCAGCTCAGCCCGGTAATCATGCCGAGATGATCTTCGGCCCGCCCACGATTTTGACAACAACCGAAACAACCTTTGCATGTTGGATGGCGTTTGCATTGCAGGAAGCTGTCTGACGCTGTGCAACGCCAACGTAGTCCATGGCAAATTGCGCCGGCTCAGGAGCTTGTGAACCCACTTAGTTTGGAGTGCCTTGGTCTGGAGGGCGGGGTCCATGATCCCCAGGCCCCCACTCCCCTTCAGTCGAATCACATACTTCCAGGCGACCTTGGCAATGAAGTTCTGTTTAGCCGGGTTGCATGTCCAAAGATACGCTGTAGCGTTTCTTCTCAGCGTCTTCCCCATCTGCACCTCCGGAGACCATATCGTCGCAGCATACCACAGCATTGAGAAGATGGAGGCGTCGAGGGCCAGGGCCCTACCGAACATCGATGTGTACATGCTGGACCATGCATCCAGCTTGGTGAGCATGTTGGCCAATATCTCTGCCGGGGTGGTCCGGGCCGTTCTCCGTCAGCTTGATGCTGAGAAGGTGCAGTGGGGTCCGCTGGTCCTGCCAGGTGAAGCCCTCCAGTGTGATATGCGGCGGCGGCAGAGGTGTATCCACCAGCCACCGCCGCAAAGTCTTGCGCCAGTTCATGCAGGCCTTCCCCTTCGGGCAGAGATTCAGCTTTCTCTGATTTTTTTAGAATTTCGATTTTTCAAAAAAATCACAAAACAAGTTAAGCTGTGTTTCTTTTCCAGTGTATAATTGCCCCTTGAGTGCAGAAACAGGAATATGAGTCATTTGACTCATGAGCTAGGGTACCAGAGTGGCCCGGCCGGGCCAAAAAGAACAGAATTCCGCGTCGAATACTGGGATATGATTGGATCGGTGATACTACTGTGAATGGAACTGCGAAGGAGAAAGTACCCTGATGACCTGTTTTGACGGGCAATCCGGAACTCTGTAAGAGACAAGGAAAACCTGTGGAAAGTGGTAGCTGAGATGTTATGTGTTGAGGATGATTGGGAAGACTCTTAGGAGTGAAGTAGCTAGTTCATTGGGACCTGAAGTTGATACCCGATTGGTCGGTGTTGTTTGGTCGTTTAGATAATCGGTTTTGTTTTGTTTCTGCAGGTGTTTGCCGTGGTCCAGACTTTGGGCGGTAGGACTTTTCCAGGTAGAGTGGGCCTTTCAGAAAGCAGGAGTTGGTTCTAGCAGGGTCCAGTTTGGGTCCAGGGACTGTCCGCGGCTTCCAAAAGAGTCGAAATTCGACAATCTGATGTTTTTTTGTTGTTGTTTGCGGTGGTTCAGACCTTCCGAAGTAAAGACTATTTCAGGTAGCAGGCCTTTCGGGAAACGGGGGGTGGTTCCAGTAGGGTCCAGGGACTGTCTGAGGTTTCTCGAAGAGTTGAGTTGGTGATAGATAGTTTTTCGAGGGTCATTGGCAACTATTTGATATCCAAAAAACGTCGGTCGACTCCCTTTGCACCTTGTGTGCATGGAGTCAGAAGGGTTGCAGGGTTTGACGGGGGTTGTCTGCTCTGACATTTTCGTGTGTGTTAACGACGTTGTCACGGGCTTTTTTGTCTACGGGTGGATGGGTTCTTTCGTGTAATAAAAATTCTTACAGCGATTGTCTTGCTGTCTACGTTGTGCTGTGCTTCTGCATGATGCTGACGTGTGTGCTGGATTCTTCTGAGTACCCGGCCTCCTGATGAGAAGGTGAAACTCTGATGAAACAGTCTGTCACATTCCCTTCTTTGTTGTCCTCTTCTCCCTCTCTGACTATGGTTTGCCGGGCAGTTCTGTTTGACGATATGTTGTCAAACAAAAGTGCCCGGTAAATGTTAGGCAGAGAGGGAGAGGAGAAGGGGACAACAAACGAGGGGCTGTGACATATCGTTTCGTCGGAGTTTCACCGACTCATCAGGAGGCTGAACCCGGTCAACCGTTAGCAGAGAGGGAGAAAGGACAACAAACAAGGGGCTGTGGCATACCATTTCGTCGGAGTTTCACGGACTCATCAGGAGGCTGAAATCTCTACGGTCTGCAGAGTCCCCTAACCGATCATACTGTATGTGATTATCCACCCACCAGTACATCGCCCCAGCCAAGTTGAGAATCCGATAGAGCCTCTCCTAAAATTTCGGAGGCTCGCGCACGGTTGATAAAAAGCATCGGCTGGCATGTACTGGTCCTTAAGTCCCGGTTGCGGTTAAGCATCAACGACTGCCGGACAACAGATACCCTTAGGTGGGCACCGACCACTGCCCTCAAGGTACCTGTGACGATAATCAAAGCAGACCATCATCCACACCGGACCGAAAAGTTGCGAAAATGCTACACGGACTGCAGGTTTCTATTTTTTTTTTCCAATTTTGCTAAAGAATTCCGGGGCAACCCTGAGGCGAAAGTTGTTCAGTTTATTTTTCTTCATAACATAGTTTAGGAGAATCAATGCAGACCATCACTCATCCACACAGTTGCGAAAACTCTACAGACTGCAGGTTTCTTTTTTTTTTTTTTCAATTTTGCTAAAGAATTTTGGTGCGACCCTGAGGCAAAAGTTGTTTAGTTTATTTTTCTTCATGACTTTCTTTTTTTTGCGGATTTCTTTTTTTCTCCTTTTGTTTTTGCAGGGACCTTGCCGGGCGCTTGCGTGGCCGGGCCGGCCGGCCAGTCGAGGTGGCCCAGGCGGCCTGGTTGGTAGCTGAGCTCATGAGCTGATATTCAATCAGATGGCCCGTGTCATCATGCATTCTGTACAAATTCGAATGCTACTATTGTCTTCTTCTGAATAGAACTTACAGTCATTGTATAGCTGTATTTGGGCCATTTTTTGGTCTAGATACAGCGATAATGACCGCACGTTCTATTTGGCGGAAGAGGGGCAGACAGTTTGACTTTGTCAGCGGTGCCAGCTGACTCAAGTCCACTTTGTGCTCTGAGTGTGCAGGTGTTAGCTTGGTCAGAGTCGACGTCGTGCTTGGTGCATATGCTGCTAAGGAAAGAGGAGAGGGTACCGCGACGGACTGGGTGGCGAAGTCAACCAATGGCTTTACTCGGCTTGTTATTGGACGACCAATCGCGTGGTTGCGATTAGATTCTGGAGTCCTAGCTGTGCGCACTGGTGTCCTTTGTTTCTGTAGTTTGAAGCTTTCCTCGGCTTCTTCAATCAGATGGCCCCATCATGGCCTAGAGTTACCTAATCAGACGGTCCTCACGCCGCAGTCCTAAGATCGTCGCATGGGGCTGTCATCCACGTCTACATCAGATGGGCCCTGATTGGCTAATCGGACAGTCATCATGATGCAGTCTTAATTATTGCTTTACAAGAAGGCAAGGGAGAAACTCACAAGCAGGAATAGGTTGATGGTGAGAGTAGAGAGAAGGATGCGTTTGAGATAGGTGAGAAAGGATGAGTGCAAAGTTTGCAGATGAGGGAGGGGGCGTAGCTGCAGAGCGCACGGTTACATCTTGAACCAGAACTTAGTCTAGAAATCACTTCAGCTTGTGCTTTGAAATAGTACTTGGTCTAGAATCAATTCAGCTTCTGCTTTGAAATAGAACTTAGTCTAGGAAAGGGGAAAAAGGAACTTCGTCTAGAAGTCGATTCAGCTTGGGCTTTGAACTAGAACTTGGTCTTAGAAGTCAATGCAGCTTGTACAGCTTGTGCTGCTTGTGCAGCTTGTGCTTTGAACTATAACTTAGCCTAGAAGTCAATGCAGCTTGTGCTTTGAACTGTAACATAGTCTAGAGATCATGTCTAGAAGCCAATGCCGCTTCTGCTTTGAACTAAAACTTAGTCTACAAATCAATGCAGCTTTGTGCTTTGCACTAGAAGTTAGTCTAGAAGTCGAGAACTAAGTCTAGAAATCATGTCTAGAAGTCAATGCAGCTTGTGCTTTGAACTATAACTTAGTCTAGAAATCAATGCAGCCTTGTGCTTTGCACTAGAAGTTAGTCTAGAAGTCGAGAACTATAACTTAGTCTAGAAATCAATGCAGCCTTGTGCTTTGCACTAGAAGTCAGTCTAGAAGTCGAGAACTATAACTTAGTCTAGAAATCATGTCTAGAAGTCAATGCAGCTTGTTCTTTGAACTATAACTTGTGCTTTGCACTAGAAGGAGTCTAGAAGTCGATTCAGCTTCTACTAGGTGGGTAGATTGCGTTCCTGTTGCAGTTGGTACTTGGTGTGGGAGGAGGAGGGAAGAAAAGGGAGGTGCTGTTGAAGTGATATGGAAGTAGGTGCACTGAAAGCGATGAGTAATGCATGATGACCTAGAAGTGCAAGCCTATAGTGGATACACAAGGAAGAAAGAATATTCACTGCGATTATTCTGCACGGAGTGACTGCGACTAGTCTGCACAGATCAGCATCTTGACAAGCCAGGCGCCTGAGATTAGTCTGAACAGATCGGCATCTTCAGGAAGCAGGCATATTACAAACGGGGGGGAGGAGGGGGAGGGGGAGGAGGAGGGGGAAGGAGGAGTTACAAAGGACTGCACAGCAGCAGGTGATGAATTAGGACCATTGTAAAGAAGAATGGTGAACCCCAAAACTAGAAGCCTTAGCGATAGGGACCTGGAGTAGAAGGGCTACAATAGGGGACAGGATAGCCAAGAAGGGCTAGGAAGGAGGAGGAGGAGCAGTGAGGGGGACAGACGAAAGGACCTAAGTTGGTGAACTGTAGTATGAACAATATTGTAAAGTAGGAGCAGCAATGGCGCATGGAGAGGGGCTGGCACGGTTTGTGTGTGAGATTTGCTACAAGTGGTTTCCACATTGGCGAGCATGGTTAGGTCATCAGCAGAAGCACAGCAGAGAGATTGCAAGTCGAAAGTTTTTAAAGGAGAGGAACCCGCATGGAGGTCAGGTATCGACTCGGGCATGGGCGAACGGAGGGGATTTGCAAGGCGAAGAAGATGGGCAGCAGCTGGAGCAAGATCAGCAGCTTAACAGAGGTCCAGTTACGTCAGCTTCGCGAAATTTCTTGTGCCGGGTCTGTAATATCACCTTCCACACAGCATTTGAGCTGCATCAGCATCTTGTTGGCCAGCATAAACAGGAAAGATCGGCGGTAGGCAGGCATGATTTGAAGAGAGTAGGAATAACCCTCCGGAAGAAAGCAATTGCGCAGCGAAAACAGGCCGTGAGTGTTACTGTGAGAGGATGGGGATTGAGGGCCAGCAGCAGATCTCAAGCACGGCGAAGTGGCTTGGACCTTTGTGACCCTGATCTTGATTATGCAAAGAAGAAATGCAGTACGGCAAATGGGAGAGTGAACCATGTTAATGCCGGGAGGGAGGACGAGGGTGCTACACCGATCCCATTGCAAGGAAGACAAGAGGATGGGGAGGCCATTGTTAGACATACTGCCAGGTTCTTTTGGCGTTGTGATGCGGTACCATCGATTGAACTGCATGGAGAAGAGGATCTCGTTTGCAATCAAGGGGGTAGAGAGGATCGCGACCCTTCGTCGTTGCAGGATCCGCAGAGAAATGGGGCAGTTTCTCCGGCCAATGTGACGTCTCCAGCGGCAGCACGGACAGATAATCATGCAGAGTTGTATGTGCCTAGAGTCCATGATGATAAGGACGGATTCGCGATGGAACAGGAGGATCCGAACCAAGAGAGCATAGGAAAACGCAGGGCATCTTCACCTGGACTGCAGGAGTGTGGATTGGTCCCTGGGCGACCTGCTGAACAGCGAAAGCGATTGCTGCAAAATGGGAGGGTGGTGGGAGGCTTGCCAATGATGAATGGTATGAAAGCTGGAGGAGAAGACTTCATCTGTCGGATATGCAGAAAGACGTTGTCGGCCAACGATTTTGATAATGACAGTTCGCCCTTGAGGGTCTCTGTCCACGATGGGGGAGGGCGGGGCAGGGGCGTAGGAGATCATGGAGAGAGAAGACGAACCAGACCGATGGCTTGCACACAAGCCAGAGGAGGAGGAGGAGGGTGCCGGGTGTGGGGAAGAAAGAGAAGCGGGACAGCGGGTCCTGTTGCACGGTTCAGTTGTCCTGTTTGTTGTGAAGGATTCAGAACAAGGTTGGGCCTCGAGAAGCACCGCCGTCTGTTTCATCATGATGCAGAGGGGATGAAAAGAAGGCGACTATTGGCAAGCTTAATACAACACCAAAAGCAAATGGCTGGTTTGCCCGGCGATGGTGCCACAGTCAGTGAGCGGGAGGAGGAGGAAGAGGAGGGAGAAGAAGCAGATGACAAAGAGGATGAAGAGGAGAAAGAGGAGGAGGAAGAGGAGGAAGAAGAGGACGAAGAGGACGAAGAGGAAGAAGAGGAAGAAGAAGAAGAGGATGATGATGACGACGACTATGAAGACGAAGAAGAGGACGAAGAGGAGGAGTTGCTGTTGGTGAAAGAGACTGTCGTGGAGAAGCAGGTGGGGCAACTACCCCTTTCATCCAGCCAAGCTCTTGCAACTGTTACTCCTTTCTTCCCTAGAGAACATTGTCTTCCCCAATCCAACCATTTGAAGTCCCGGGCCCATTTAACTACAGTTGACTGAGTCCCAAACTTACACCTGGTGATGATCTATCACTATTTGTGATCCTGGCTATTTCCGGAGTGCAAATTGACAAGGAAAGACAGTGGCACCCAATTGCAAAAGAAATGAAAGCACTTGCAAAGAGATAAAGACCAAAGAAGAAGAAGAAAAGAAGACCAATGACAAATCTCCCTTCTCTCTCACTCTCCTCCTCCTCCTTGTCTCCACCAATAGTATTCTTCACCAAATAATAATAATAACAATGAATGGTTGAGCCAGAATCAATATCCGAAGTTCCCTCTTACTGCCAGCACAACAATACGTCCACCATAGCCATGGCCTCCCTCTTCGTCTACCTCATACAGGCCTAGGCTATGGCGGACTGTTAAGGGCCTTGCCCTGACGTGCAAAAGACAGCGCAAAGAAGCTATGACCGCTGCCCTTCAGGCGGGCATGCCTGAGTCTGCCTTGAAGCCTTCTTGGTGCGGCACTTCCCCAACTGGGGCCTTACAGATGCAGCGCGTAACAAGGTGATGAAGATGGCGTCCACCATAGCCAGGTAAGTACCTCACCACTCTCCTCCTTTGCCCCCTTCTTCCTCCTCCTCAAGCTGAGCTGCTCGCCATAACCAGGCAGAGCGCCCAGCTCTCTTCCTTCCTCCCTAGCAGTGCTCTGAGAACCAGCGCCCGCTCAAGAAGCATGACGCCCAAACTTGCATACCGCAAATACGGAGGAGCTACTCGCTCCTCAGGAGGTATAGCGGTCATCCGGACTCAGGGCTGGTGACTTCCAGGCCGCGCGGCCTCCAAGCAACCGGTACCTCGTCCCTTTCAGAGGGAAACAGCATTGCAGGCTCTGATATTCTCCGCACAGCCCCTAGACTTAGGCTACTTGGACTGGTACCCGCCTACGTCTAGGCCTACCGCTACTGGGCCTAAAAAAAAATACTAACTTTTGTCTTCTTCTGCTCGGCCTGCGGTTCCCGACACATCTACCGCTACTTGAGTGGTACCAGCCTACCTGCTTACTTGAATGTTTTCCCCTGCTGCCCCCAAGCGTCGCGGACCTACTCCCCGCTACTGGATTGTTTTCCCCGCTGCAACCCTCAAAGTCACGGCCACAGGTAAGTACCGGGCCCTTGGGTCTTTCAAACGAACAAGTGCCCTGGCGGGCCACACACACACTCAAGCACTCAGGCATCCCGGGAAACACACCAAAACCAGCAAACACGCTCACACAGAGACTTAGAAGTCTCAGCAAACAAACAGCGGGAATCTCAGCAGACACAATCCAGCGGAAAAAAACTCAGAAATCAGCACAGTTCTCAGGCTGTGATTTTGCAGGTCATTACAACTATCTGTTCACACTCTGTCAGACCCAAAAGCAGTTAGCTGCAGTCACTGCAGTTATTGCAGTTGCAGCTTTCACTCCTTTTTTTCCCCCTACGAAACAGCTGCGTAGCATGGTGTTCGCATTCGGAGGCGAACCCAAACATGTTCGCCCGAATGCGAACTAGTGCCCAAAACCCTCCGAACGCGAACATAAAAATATATATATATTTTTAAAAAGTCTCAGGAAAATCTGAAAAAAATATATATGTCATGTAAAACAATAATACAAGCAACTTCTGCTTTGGAGTCATGTTCAAATTCTTAGCCAAACGGAGGGAGGGAATGGACGAAGCGGGAAGCCGGCGCCGTAGCGCTCTGCTCCCGTGACGCGAGCGGCAGTCTTTAGGGTTAGGCCATAGCCGCATAGCCGCGCGGAGCTTAACCACCATGCCCCGGAGCGCGCAGTATGGGGAAGGGGGGTCTTGCAGCGGTCGACCTACACAGGATAGCTCGAGCAACAGAGACACTGGCTTGTCCAGGGCTGAGAGGAGGGAGTGGGCAGGAGGGGAGGCAGGCAGCATGGGGTTTTCAAACAGGAGCTGCGGAGCAGAACGACAGACAGGTGGCAGCATCGAAGATGGCGACATCACGAACAAGTCGAACACTTCTGAACCGAAGAACGCTGAACGCGTCCTTCCCATGGAAAACTTCCCTACACTTATAAAAATCGCTAATGTCAGAATTCTGAAATCCAGGTCGTCTTTGGACCTACCGGCCCGACGGCCCAGATTGGGTCCCGATCTTAGATCTTTAAGGCCGTTCGCGGTTGCACCTGCCCGACGGCCCAGATCGCCCCGCGATCTTAAAGTTTTAAGATCGCGGGCGAATCCGGGCTGTCGGGCCATTTATGGCCCGGATCGCCGCGGTGCCTTGGGGAGTTCGGTCCGAAAGGACCGTTGGCGGGCAGGCGGGAAATCTACGCGACGCGACACGACCACGCTACACTACGCGACGCGACGCGACCTTACGCTATGCGACCTGTCTACTCGACGCGACCTACGCTACGCGACGCGACCTACCTACGCTACGCGACCTACCTACGCTACGCAACCTACCTACTCGACGTGACCTACGCGACGCGACGCGACCTACCTACGCAACGACTGATCTTGGATACGTGCTTCTCTCTCTCTCTCTCTCTCTCTCTCTCTCTCTCTCTCTCTCTCTCTCTCTGTGACTGTGCTCTTTGGTGCTCGGTGCTCATCTTGGATACGTGCTTTTCGTCACGTGCTGATCGTGGATCCGTGCTTTTCTTTGGTGCATGATCACGCGCTCATCGTCGATCCGTGCTTTTGGTGCTCGGTGCTCGTCGTGGATACGTGCTTTTCGTGCTCATCGTGGATCCGTGCTTCTTTTTGGTGCATGATCTCGTGCTCATCATCGATCCGTGCTTTTCGTGTTCATCGTGCTTTTCTTTGGTGCATGATACGTGCTTTTCGTGCTCATCCTGGATCCGTGCTTTTCTGTGGTGCATGATACATGCTTTTCGTGCTCATCGTGGATCCGTGCTTTTCTTTGGTGCATGATCACGTGCTCATCGTCGATCCGTGGTTTTGTGCTCATCGTGCTCATCGTCGATCCGTGCTTTTCGTGCTCATCGTCGATCCGTGCTTTTCGTGCTCATCGTCGATCCGTGCTTTTCGTGCTCGGTGCTCATCGTGGATACGCGCTCATGGATCCGTGCTTTTCTTTGGTGCATGATCACGTGCTCATCGTCGATCCGTGCTTTTCTTTGGTGCATGATCACGAGCTCATCGTCGATCCGTGCTTTTCTTTGGTGCATAATCACGTGCTCATCGTCGATCCGTGCTTTTCGTGCTCATCATCCATCCGTGCTTTTGGTGCTCGGTGCTCATCGTGGATACGTGCTCATCATGGATTCGTGCTCATTGGGGATCCGTGTGGTGCTCGGTGCTCATCGTTGATCCGTGCTTTTCTTTGGTGCTCTGTGCTCATCGTTGATCCGTGCTTTTCGTGCTCATCATGGATACATGCTTTTCGTGCTCCGTGCTTTTCTTTGGTGCCCGGTGCTCATCGTTGATCCGTGCTTTTCGTGCTCATCGTGGATATACATGCTTTTCGTGCTCATCGTGGATATACATGCTTTTCGTGCTCGGTGCTCATCGTGGATCCGTGCTCATCGTGAATCCGTGCTCTCTCTCTCTCTCTCTCTCTCTCTCTCTCTCTCTCTCTCTCTCTCTCTTTGTCTCTCTCTC